GGGGGGGGGGGGGGGGTATGTGCGCTCTCACCTTTGGCAGTGTGAACCATCTGAGGATATATTGCCGTGGGGATGATCGGCTGGGGGAGATCCTGCAGGTACCTGCGCAGACCGTCACACAGGATCGGAAGCTCAAATTGATCCAGGTCTGCTGAGGAGGGATCTGAAAGCGCAAGGAAGACATGGGGTTTAAATACTAAAAAAAACTCTTTCCTGCACAGTGAAATCTTTAATTAGAGGCACATGCACAATCTGCAAAATGTATACCACACAGTATAGCATTCACAAAACCACAGGCCTTTCTGTTCTTCTTCACATAGTGTACACATGCAAATCACCTCACACATGTACCTCATCATCACAACCAACGTCAGTCGGTTTTTTTCTCTATTTAAGACTTCCTCTTTTCTTAATTTGCCTCCCTCATTCAACTATTAGAAACATACAGGCTTGATATAAAGTGGTGATTTAAAAAAAACCTACTTACCACAATCAAAATACTGTCTGACTTCGAGTCCACCACCAGCAGTAAATGTTCGATATAAAGTGGGGTTGTCCAGACCTGCAAAACCATAACACATACCATTCAGTTCATGTGTGTAAAAGGTCACAGCCAAATGTGGACAGTCAAATCGAAAACTCAAGTGTGCGTTAAGATGAGCTTCCTCTGTTAAGGCTCACCTTTCCTCTCAATAGCCTCCAGCAGTCTGACAAGCACTGGTGGAGTCGTCTCTGGAAGGGAAAACTGCTCCGTCAAGTCCAGCAGACTGAAGCCTTAAGAGATAAGAACAGATTGTCAACCGGGGTGATTTTTTAAAAAGATTAAAACTTGCTTCCTACTAATGCTTCACTGGGTCAATGCTTTGGTCTTGTGATGCTTTTTCTGACACATGATGAATAAGTTACTAATCTTACAAAAAAAAAAAAATTAATTAATGTTAAAGACCAGTTAGAAGACCCCTAGGACTGCAATTTAAGACCATTTTTGCATCCACAGTGGCAAAAGAATGTCAAGGAATATCAGTATTGGTTGCATGTCGGCACGATCGATATAAATTCTGCCCAAAAAAACAAAAATAGTCAAATAAGATTATTGGACTATTTTTGTGTAAAATATTAGAAAATATCAGTTTCCTAAAGCTCACATTGTTTGTTTTTGCTAACCAACCTAAAAAACATCCAGTTAATTATCACAAGACAAAGAAAAGTCCTAACCATTGACAAGCTGGAACTACGCAATAATTTGTACTACTTTAAAAATGACTTTAATTATTTCTCATCATTGCCAATTATCCTTATTTTGATCATTTCATTTGTTTTAAAGTTCTAACAGGCAGTTTCCACTACAAAGCGGTATGAGTACAGTAAACTTCAAAGCATTCGTTGGATGAATGACTAAGAATACCGATGAGAGGATAAACTAAATTCCATTTTACTGCCTCAACAGAAATGCAAGCAATGCAAGAGGAAATACTGATTCTGTCTCCATACCTAAGAACAATTTTTCTTAAAACCATATCTTTTCTCTGCATCTTCCATAGAGTGAAAATACAGAAGTGCTTTTGTCTGAATGGCAACACAGTCTTGACAGAGAATATATTGTCTCAACCTTCTGGCTGTTTTGATAACAACAGCTCTTAAGGGGATTTCAGGGGATTTTGCCCATTTCCTTCTGGTGACAATGAAAAGGGTTTATTTTGTACACAATTTAGGTATATTCCAAGTCATGTCAGCAAATTCTCCAGAAATGTGGCCAAAAAAATAGCAAGTAAATGTGTCCAATACAGAAATTAAATGGTCTACTAGTCATCAGACGTTCAATGTGACATTAAACGGCTGCAATTCACCTGAAGCACTCACTTACAAGCCACCTCAGAACTTCAAAAAATAAGCAGGTACGAGACCAAAGGGCTGCCTTCAAAAGTAAAAGGTGAGTATTTACAACAGAGCGGAGGTGCTGAGCTCTGAAGTTTGGGTTTTGGTGGACCGAGGAACTAAAGCAAATACCCTGTGATATGAGGTAAGCCAGGTCTGACTTTTTTCCTCTCCTTTAGAAGTTCGCATCCAGGTGTGGACATGAAAGGACGAAGGGGTTGGCGAGGATTTTGTTTGGATTTGCGAAGGCGTATTTTGAAAAAAACGCGTTTCTGAAAGGCTCAACTGTTCCAACCAGCGAGTCTGCAGTTTCAAAATGCTGAGAAACCATGAATGGACGCCTTTCTAAGTGACCATATTTTTCTTTCTTTCTACCCTTAAAAATTATTACAGTTTTTTTTAAATCTGGCATTAAAGCGGGCATCTACTGGTCCCCATTGATGCATGCACGCTACTCATTACCAATGAACTACCCTCCTTCCACTAAAGAGCGTTCAATCAGGCAAATAATGAACCACTTCATCCAAATCCACATCCTCTTTGGCTAGCGGAGCACACGCTCACACACACACACAGGCTGGCATGTTGCGTGTGAAGGACCTGGCTTAACCACAGAACACACAAAACTCCGTGTAGGACACTGGTCATCTGGAAGACATTATTGGAACTGCAAAGCGGGAGGGGGGTTTTCTCAGAAGCAGTGAACTCTGAGATGGAACACCAGAGTTTCCCTAAATAGAGATTGGAGACACGCAGTGCTGCCATCCCACACCTTGGAAGTGTAACCTTTCTCCCAGACAAGATATACAACACGGCTGCCATTCTACGGCCAACCTTTTTCTGAGAAACTCAACTCACAACCTGGGTTTAACCTGAGTTAAATTTAAAACACATCCACCCTAACTCCTACTGTTCATATCTATGAGAATTACCCAGTGTAGACTAGTTTTATTAAAGATAATATTTCTGACAAGTCTTCAAAAAGATGGGTTAAATGTTTATATGTTAAAGCTTTTAAAAACACATCTGCCTTGAATTTCTCCAGTAGCTACCTTGATAAACCCGCTATACCAAGAAGACTCGTCAAAACGCGATCCAAAAAGGTTTGTGTTTATTTACCCGTCAATGCATTTGGCCCATGAGTGACACCGGACAGTCTGGAGATAGAGTTGCTTCTCAGTACTGTCGACGATGTGATAGTTTCAGCACCAATGGAAATGTATCCAGTGGCAGACAAAATATGGCAGAAATGTTTGGAGCTATCAGTGATGATGTCTGAGATTCCCTGGCATGAGATCAAACCATCAACATGCCCCCAGCTGGCCGCAGCTCGTAACCATGGAAACACACATTAAACACACATAAATTAAAAGCCTTTAGATTTGAGCAATTATAATAATGGTGGTAAAAAAAAAACCTAGCTTTAATTGCTGCCGAGCAATCAGATGTAGCTGATTTATCCATATCTTACATACTTGTTCACAAATGGCACATGAGATGTATACAATTACTGGGGTTGTGCATTAGCAAGAATCAGACGATACAGGGATTACGATTCAATATACTGTCATACTGTAAGCAATCGAGATCTTGTTTCGGTCATAAAACTGTCATAGTATAAAAAACACACCATGAAAATAAATAAAAAAATACTTATGTAAACCATAACGGTGGGATCTGCATTTGTTTTTGTTTTGTTAAAGATAATTTTTTGGGGCTTTTTAATAGTCTGTATTAGATAATAGAAGCTGAAAACAAACGACAGTAAAGCGAGGACAGAGAATCAAACCCAGGCCACTATGGTGAGGATTCTGTACATGGGGTCTCACGTTCTAACCAAAAAAAAGCTACCGCAGTCCCAACATTGCAGCCCTCAGTTCACATTTACGACACTGCTATCTAGCGGTCGGGGGGGGTAAAACGCAATCAATATAGCATACAAACACAAACAAATACTGCGATACTCAAATGTAATAATATTTTATTATCTGCATCATTTGCAAAATGTGTGAACCAGTCAGGGGTAATCAATGCTAGAAACACACTTAAAAAAAATCAACCCTCTCTGTATGACTGCAGTGTTACAACAATAAACAACCACAATGTACTCTACTCAAGAACAAGCTGAGGGCACACACACAACACACACACACACACACACACACACACACACACATTTTCAATGGAAGTTGGTTTCTGTGGCAACTTGGGAATGGAGAGCAAGGAGACAGGGGCCCCTTGGACGTGCCTCTGCAAGTCTACATGTTTGGCAGACCTTCTCATGATATCCCAAAAGGCCTCAGCCAGTCAGCAGTCAGTTAGTCAACCGCAGGTCGAGGAAGTCAATGCAGCTGCCACTGGTGCTGCTGTGGTGTGTGTGTGTTGGGGGGGCGGGCAGGGGGACAATCTCTCCGGCTGAAACGGTATGTCTGAACCAAACAAACTGCAGACTGTGGGCAGGACAGGGCTGGGGCACACTAAAGATAGCACACACTTTGGATAAATTTAGAGGGGCCTGCTCAAGTAACCAGCATTTTCAGGTTATATACCGTTTCTTCTCGTCTGAAAAAAGGGTCTAGCCGAGGCACGGCCAGTAAAAATTAATAACCCACGGGGAGCACATCACACCACACTGCACGCGAGAGCACATTATAGAGCAGTAAGTGCCTTATAATACAAAATACATTACATATTATAACATGTAACACTAAAGGTATAAAAGTGGATTGTCTGAAGAGTGCAGCTGATAAAACGTCACCTAATGCATTAATTAGACCTTCAAAAATGCCAAACATACAGAATAAAACAGATTTTTTCCCCAAGTGAAGCTCTAACATGCTTTAACATGCTATTATAAGTCAATGAATGATACAGCTTGGAGCTGAAGTCAGTAAAGAATAAGGGTAGGCAATGTCTCCTCCTGCAGGGTGGAAGGTGTAGTGCACAAGCTAAGCAACAGCCAATGAGGAGCCTGTTGCTACAGCCTGACAATTAACCCTATAAACTGCAAACCAAAATCACAAAAAATACAGTTTCATCCTGTGCAATTAACTGTACACAAGTGTCAGCTACAGCATTTAAAGATGATTAAACCATTTCTCAACCTGAATCTTATTCTTTATTCTCCTTCATTTTGCCACATTAATGCAAATGAAGATGTCCTCTAGTAAAGTCTGATGTTCAGTTCAATTTTGATTTGTAGGGTCAGATCTATGCAGCTGAAGATAACCACTCTAACCCCAAACCACACAAAAAAATATTTCCTTTCCTGCAAAATATCTGTCACGTTGCAACGAGACAGACATATATATACATTCATACAACAGTCAATGTTATGTGAAGTCAAACTCACTTCAAACTTAGAAATAAAGCATGTGAAAAGGTTTTCAGGGTCTAATATTTCTGATAATAACTGTAAAATAATTGCTGTATTCTGCTAAATAAACATAGAAACAAAATTGGCCTATATGTGAGCAGGTTGTTCTAAAGGAGATTTCATCTTGCACCTTGTATTGCTAGCATGATAACAGAAGTGATTTAAAAGAAAAGTTTAAAGCTGTAAGTGCAGTGTGAGCTCTGTGCTGAAGGGGTGTGCTGTAACTGCTCTTTTGTACCAGTGCATGCACATTGAGAGGTACCAGAAGGCTCTTTAGTCAAGTAATTGCTTCTATTTTTTGATAGCGCCGAACGTCATTATGTCCTAAACTACTGGGACAATAAGTTACCGGTTGAAATTAAGTTTAAAAAAAAAAAAAAAAGGCTTGTTCAAATTATTATGTAACACCACAGCACGAGGCCTTCAAACAGTACCTTCATACACCTCGTCTGCCTCCCTGTCAAATACATCACATATTTGAAATGCCTCTTCTGTTCCCCTTGGCCTTGCTTGTCTTTAATCT